TGGGGACTGTGTGGGACGATACGTAAGTTGTTTTATCCACTGTGCACGTTGCTGCCGTGATCATTCAGGCCCAGGTGTGTGAGTATTGTGGGCTGCACGTGTGATGCTTTGGTATGGAATGGTGCTCATGTTGGTGCTGGTGCTAATGATTCGTGTGCCTGAGCTGTTGGGGTGACTCCTGTGGAAATGTCTTTAAGGTGATGGTTTCTGCCAAGTTCGGGGAAACCAAGCTTCATGAACACCATTTTCTATAATAGCTTGAACGATGTTTGAAAAGAGAAAACGGGGCCCTCTGTTTGCAATGTCGTCTCTCCATCCTCTTTTCAGACATTCAGTGGCGAGTAACTGCTGCTCTGACACCGACTCCTGGAGGATGAGCGAGATCCCGGCTGGGAAAGGCCTCGGAAAGCAGGGCATTTGCTGCCTTGTGTGGACTCCCAGTCAGGCCTTCATTGGACGGGACGGGTTAGACCAGGAAGGGAAGATACCGCATGTCCAGCTGCCAAAGGCAGTTCTCAGGAATCGCTAGGCAAGAAGATGGAAGCAAAATGCTTTCCAGAAATATAGGATCCCAGTGTAAACCCCCCTTTCAAAGTGCCTTTAATCCAATAAAATAAGTCACGGTGTGCGAGCCAGTGACGTGCATGGTCTCACTGCTGACATGGTGGGTGGCACTGTCCACTGTCCCCTGACTCCGGCTGTCCTCAGGCGAAAGCCCTGTCATGTTCCCCCCTGGACTGCGAGAGGGTACCACCCGGCCACGGGGTCACCACACCAGGCACGTGGGAAGCTGTCCCGGCCTCAGGAGCATCAGCTCTGGGCTGTGGCTTCGGGGAGAATGAGAAGCGTCCCGCCTGTCCTTCTGTCCGAGTGACAAGGTTTGTGAAGCCCTGTCCGCATTTCTGACCAACCTCTCCCAGGAGACACTGGCCTTGCAGAGTCAGGAGAGCCAAGAACAGCAAAGTGAGCCAAGATCCCTTCCTTCTCCCTAACGCCGAGCCCCCAGGACACATCCTCCCCGTGGCTGGGCGCGCCTTTTCCTTGACCTCTGTCCGGGCTGCTCTTCGGTGGGGCGGCTTGAGGAGGGAGGGGCCAGTGCCCAGCCATGGCCTTTCGCCTCAAAATGTAAACCACACGTGAGTGACTTTCCTCGACTCTACCTCTAGAACTTGAACAGGAAGGGCTGGCTGTTTTCTGAATGAACCAAGTCCACGGGCATGAAACAGACCGCACAGTTGAGGTGATACGGGGCCTGGGAAGTGCTCACACTTTGGCAGCATTGGTATAAGTAAAAATAGCCATTAATTTCAGTCCTTTTACTCGTTTTAAATTTTTTAACTGATGGATTTTAGAGAGGAAGAGAGAAACATTGATTTGTTGTTCCACTTATTTATGCGTTTGTTGGTTGCTTTTTGTATGTGTCCTGACTGGGGATCGAGCCCGCATCCTTGGTATATCAGAATGATATTCTAAGGCCGGGGCCTCTTTTTGCTCTTTTAACATGATTACTAGAAACCCTACAGTGACCCGCTGCTCACATTATATTTGTACTGGAAGAGCTGTTCTAGGTGCATTGTCATACACATAAATGAAGCAGCATTCAGGTGCCAGGGTGACCCTTTGCCATCCCAAGCTTGGCAGGAGGCGGCTTAAGAGCTGTTTCCCAGTGCACCTCAGTGATGAGCAAGACCCCAGTGTGGCTGGGCGTCTGGTGCGGAGAGGTCCCAGCTGGGCCTTTCCACCGACTGTGATATGAGAACGGGGTGCAAGCGCTTGGCACCTCGTCCTATAAAGGAGGCGAGTTTATAACAGGACTGGCCTCCCTCCCCACATCTCCCAGTGGCTGCCCCCTGCACAGCTCCTTGCCAGTGAGCCTCGAGGGGCATCTGTTTGTTCCGACACCAGCCCTTACGGTTCTCTGCCTCGTCACGCCGAAGGCAGCTGGGTCCACACCACGCCAGCTGTGGGTGCCATATGGGAAAGCCTTACCGTACAGAGCATTTCCGAAGCCAGAGGAGAGGAGCGTGTACCCGATCTAGCTTATCTCTTCTTTGCCTTTGAAATTTTAGTCATTGAAATATCTCCAGGCTATAATTAGAATTATATACCGAGATCATTCCGAGTTAAAACTAAATATGCACTTTGTTTTTGATGGGTGTAGGGATGCGGGTGGATATTTGGAAATGCAGGCTGACCGTCTGGATACGGACGGGGTGGACTTTTCCAATACAAGGTGCGAGAAGAGCCAAAACCGGTTTGGCTCAGTGGATAGAGTGTCAGCTTGCGGACTGAAAGGTCCCAGGTTCGATTCCGGTCAAGGGCATGTACCTGGGTTGGGGCACATCCCCAGTAGGAGATGTACAGGAGGCAGCTGATCGATGTTTCTCTCTCATCGATGTTTCTAACTCTCTATCTCTCTCCCTTCCTGTCTGTAAAAAATCAATAAAATATATATTTACAAAAAAAAATCTGGGGTAGCAATACTAATATCTGACAAAATAGACTTTAAAATAAAGGCTATCACAAGAGACAACAAAGGTCACTACATAATACTAAAGGAATCAATTCAACAAGAGGATATAACCCTGATAAACCTATATGCACCCAATATAGAAGCACCTAAATATATTATAAAAAAAATTTCTAGAGGACTTTAACGGAGAGATCGACAACAATATAGTAATAGTATTTAACACCCCTCTGACTTCACTGGATAGATCTTCCAGACAAAAACTTAACAAGGAAACAGAGACACTGGATAAAATGGATTTAATTGACATTAATACAACACTAGAGACCCGGTGCAAGACATTTGTGTACTAGAGGGGGTATCTCAGCCCGGCCTGTGCCCTCTCACAGTCTGAGACCTCTTGGGAGATGTCTGTGGAGGGGTCTTTAGCACTGCCACGGAGGTGAGAGAAGCTCCCACCACTGCCGATGTGCTCAACAGGCATGAGGCCAGCTTCTGGCTAAGTGGCACTCCA